AGATATTTATCGCTTTTTTGGCTTCACTCGTTTCAAAATTATACATCCTTTTTTTTTATCAAAACGCATACAAAATTTTACAGAGAGAAAAATATGATTTTTTTTAAAAATATAGCTTTTTTGAACTGATTATGTTTTTGAAAAATAATACAAGAGATTAATATTGGTAACTTGTTTTTAATAGTTCGTCACAAAACGAAAAGATATCTAAAAAAATATTTTAGTAAATTTGACGCAATATAATATTTTTTTTTTTTTTTTTTTAGGACTGTATTTAAAAAAAAAAAAGACTTTTTTTCTTATTATTTTAAGATGATAAATGTCTTAAACTTTTTTTAACCGAGTACCTTTTCCAAATAGAAAACTTTTAGAAGAATTCATTCACATAGATGTAAAGTGTGTTATTAATGTAGATGAGAATTGTATGTTAAAGATAAAAAAATAAATAATAAGTTTATCTATTTATTTATTTTTTTAACATTTTGAGTTACGATTTCATGATCCATAGTTTTAAAGTCTCAAGAGCTCTGAAACTTGCAATAACATCTTTTCGTATTACAAATATAATCATATCATGAAATATCGTATATAAAAATATTATATCGTGCAATATTATTTATGTAAACATAGCACATTTGACCATTTTAAAAAATTGTCAATAAACACTTTTAATTTGTATTACTAATGTATATTTGAAATGCACATCAAAATCTCATATCATATTCTGAACTATCGTGTATGAATATATCATTCAATTTCACTTATAATGATACTATATTAACGACACTGATTATAATGATAATCAGTAAATTGTATTAGTTTAATTTTCTTTAACGCTATATTTCTATTAAACTATGCATTTTAGAAACAAATCAAAATCTTTTCTTTTTCATTACAAAAATCAATATTTTTATTTTTTATTTTATGAGTTTTTATTTTTCATCTTACGTTTTAGATACATAAGTATGATTACTTTTTTTACATGTTTACGATATGACTAAGAGAAAATGGCGCATCATTTTCAAATTAATGTACTGAATTCTCAATATGGCCCTAACACAAGTCAAATCAAAGCATCCCAATTATGAGCTTTTTGAAAAATAAGCACCACAAATGGTCTTAATTACGTGTATTGACAATGTAATAAATATGAAGTCAAACTTGTGTAGTTTCGATACTTCACTGTAATCTTGTTTAGTCTCAAACGCGATTAATTTAAGACTAAAACAGAATGGGAATTTTAAGTAATGTCAACCAGTACTATCCAATGAGTGAAGTACAGTTTCATATCTTTTACTTTTGCGGCATGCCTTGTAAATTTGCTAGACATTTTCAGTATATTTTAGACATTCTTTGAATTTAAAATTTATTTTTAGCGATAATTAATATTGTTACAAATACATTTTATATTTTAAACTTATTATGATTTTGATCTATAGAAACAAAAATACTTCATTAGGCTGAAATGCAGTTTTATCAAAGAAAAAACATTTATTTATATGACAATTAATTTTGAAAAGAAAAAAGGAATTAACTATATTAGATGCACCCATGTTATTAAAATGGAATCCTATCCTGGTATTGAGAAGCTGGAAAAAGAATATTTAAGAGAATTGTAAAGGAATCCGCTTTGCCTTCTACGTAAACATCAAATAGTTTTTTTTTTTTATAAAAAAAATTTGTCAGTAAAAACCAACTTAACTGAATGCTAATAACTTTTGTTCCTACAGTCGACCATAAAATTTTCTTAAACACGAAAATTTTAATCTTAATTTTATTCAGTATGCTCTCTTAGAAGAAAATAAGTTTCAGCGTTTTGAATCATAATATCACTCAAATTTAACCTTACTAAAGGTGTTGTTTTTAATAGTACAACTTGGAACCATAGTAAAGTTACAACAAATTTTAACAATATTATAGTGATAAAATCTGAAATTTCTAACAGTGGGCTTTTAATATTCAAAATGAATAGTTGTTGATTTTCATTTATGTATACATAGTGTGTTATTAACACAAATTTCATATTTATTATTTTTTTTAAAATTAGTTTCTCCCTCATAAAATTCTCCTGAATTCAAGCATTATAGGGTTAATACACCAATGGCTCACATCTCACGGTTTTTTTTTTTTTTTTTTTATCCTCTTTCACGCCAATTTAACGCCAGCACGCGACCCTAACGTTGTTGCAGACACTAATATCGAAATAAGACCCGAAGGGGTAATACATCAGAAGGGTTAGGAGGCGTATAATAGTGGGAAGGGGTTAATTTCTAACTTCCTGCTGAGCGGACAGATTTAGTTGTAAAAAAAGGGATAGAAAAAAAGAAACCCTTTACCACTAAACACATAATAGGAGTTTCAATTTCAAGCGTCACTGCATATCTCACCCCTTCTCTACCTCCAAAAGGATTAATCTCACACCCCTTTTTTTATCCTCATGGATCACTTGTTGGCAATAGTTGTCAACACCTCAATACAGAGTATTTCCTAACTTGTTTGAAGCACATCATGGGAATAAATAGCTGTATTAGACCAGCTAGAACAGCTTATTTAAGTTGTTATAGCTGGTCTAATACATTATTAATATATAATATATATATATATATATANTAAACTATCTGAAACAAAAAGCTAATAATCAAAATAGAAAAAATGCAATAAAAAAAACAATGATAAAATCAAAAATTTAAAAAACAATAATATTACGATGCATATATATATATATATATATATAATACATTATTAATATATATTTATATTATTATCATTAGTTTTTAGTAATGTGCTAAAATATTCTGAATACGCAGTTTTTATTCATTTATTGCATAGATTTTTTATGTTAAAATGATTTCTACGAAATTAAATACTTCATTAAAAAAAACAAGCTTTGAGAAATTAATCTTTCTTTTTATTTGTCTCGATTAATTTTTTATTATTATTATTAGTGTAATTTTACCACCTCGCATTAGAACTGTGCGTGGAATTTACATGGCATGGCAGCATTTTAAGTATAAAATTCATTTCTAAGGCATTTAACATCAATTTTATTCTGACTATGTTTTCAAAAAAAAATTATTTCTGAAGAACATAGCAACAGCAACGAAAAGAAATTTTTTCTTATGCAGTATGTATTACATCCTTTATTTTTTCAATATTATATATTTACATTCCTTTAAGCTAAACCTCTAAAAGTTGATATTAAGCCTTAAGGATTGTAGATACATGATATTAAATAAGTAAATAAGGATTATTTCCTTAATATTCATTATATATCTACAATCTGCCAGAACTTATTGCAGCGAGAAAAAAAAGTTTTTAGAAATTCAAAGGATTGTATTTGGAAAACGAAATTAATTTTGGGTGCAGTAGATGTGGAAAATTGATGCTTGAAATATCAATTGATACCAAAAAGAAGATGAAATCTTCATTACCATAGTATAACAATGTTCTTGCTGAAAATATGCAGAATTCAAAGGGGTTAGTAATTCAAAGGAGTTCATAAGAGTATAATTTAGGAAGAAAACTACGGCTAAGCAACAGTTACCAAAAAGAAAATTGAAATCTACATTATCATAGTGTGAACTATAATGTGCTTATCGAAAAACATAGAGAATACGAAGGATTGATTTTGAAAGAGAAAGAAAGTTAGTTTTACGTGTAATATAAATGATGATGTAAATTGAAACTGTTGCCAAACGGAAAAATGAAATCTTCATTTCAAGTCTATACATTTCATAGTTGTACTGTTGAAAGTTGTGTTTGGCGTAGGCCATTGATTTTCCATTTATTTGTTCTCCTCAGCAGCGTCGTAATTTCCCTCTAGACTCATTTGATTGTCGATCTACAGTGAAAAGGCATCCAACAGTTCTTTGTATCTTGTGGTTTTCCACTACCGAGTGACGCGCATTCTGCAAATGAGTACGGAGTTTTTTAGGGTGGGGTGCTGCTTACTGGGGAGGGGAGAGAGGGTGCAAAACTAAATCCACGAGACCCCCATCTCGATTTTTCTATCCTCTACCACCACCACCCTCTGATTGATGAGAAGCCTGCCAGTGCGTCATGCTCTGGCTCTAAGAAGAAAGCACAGAAATGGGGAAAGAGAGGAGAATAAAAAAATTCCCTCGCTGATTACCGTTTAAGGAGAACTTTTGGAAATAAACATTAAATGTTCTAGAGTAAAAGAAAAGAAATATAAAAGGAAATGGAGGAAGATAATTGCTTGTAGAGCAGAATAAAACTTTGTTTTTTCGAAGAATTGAAGATGTTTTTATGCTCTCCAATTTTTGTTCCTTATGGTTCTCCACCCCCTCTCTTTTTGAAGCAAGAGTTACTTCAAAAGAAAATTATTTTGTTTCTCTATCTGAAATCGTTACAGAAATTTTTTTAGAGATAGTTTTGTTCAAAAGACATTTCTTAAATTCTCTAAACCAGTGATCGCCAAATTCTCTTCTACACTAACTTCAAATGCAAGCACCTCTTGGATCATACAAATGTCACATGTAGCATAGTATGCCGACTACCACGTTAAACAATCAATTAGTAGAAATGTGAAAGCTCAATGTTTCCAAACTTAGTATTTTTTTTTNCACATTCTCAACTTTATTTTTAAATTTTGATCAATGTGTACATTACAATTAAGTATAAAATACTTTAAATTTTATGAAAGCAAAATTAATGATGCAGCAAAAGAAATTTAAATTTTTTTTACTTCAATTTTTAGAGCAATAATAAACTTATCCATATAAATACATAATATGTGTTGGTGTGTTTAAAAATTTCAGTTGAGTAGATATGCGTCTAATTAAATTATTTTAAAAATAAGCTAATGGCCACAACATTTTTTTTATAAAATGTTATCCAATTCAAACGAAGAACTATATTAAAATAATACTAACTAGAATTATCAATTAAAAATGAGGAATATCATAAAATTAGGAAAATCATAATGAATTTAATGATCTAAAAAATTATATTAAGCACTTTATTTATTAGTAAAGAGTTTATTCTTAATAATGAACAATAATTTGAATTAATTTGCTCCCATTTGGATTCTATTTGAAATGTGCTTCCATTTTAATTTCTTACCCTGCTATCCTGAAAATAAACAATTTAAAAAATGTAATGTGTATCGACATTTTTAGTGTACTCTTTCATCGCATTTTTTTTTTTTCTTAAATTTTTGAAGCTACCAACAAATAGGACAATGATATAATAATAATCATGCCAAAAAGAGTTGAATGTGGTAATTGATTCCCAGAATATCTAGCAATCCTCATCATGAATTATTCTTATTGAAATCCTTTATCAATTGTTTATTTAACAACCTAATAGTAAACTCAACACTTTAAACTCCCAAAATAGATTTTAATTAAACAATTAATAAAAACCATATTACTCATTGTTGCACACTTCATAATAAGGACTAATGCTACCTTAAATTTAAACAGAAAAAAAGAGTTTAGGCAAACAGAATCGGAAACCTCCAATTAAAATGAGCGTCATTCTATCCAAATATCAGGTAGCCTAATATCATGAAACAAATAAATACTGATGGTAAAAAAGCAAGATTCCACGACAGCGTCTGTAAAAAAGAGAATTTGTCACCTTCACGTTTAGATGCATAAACAGAGGGAATAGGGAAGAAAAATAGAAAATAAATCAAAACTAGTAGGTGGAGATATGAGGGAATCCCAAAACCCCACACCCCTATTGGCCCGAAACGCAAGCTCGCACGTACCATCATTGGAGGAAACGAAAGAAGGCTGTCTCTTATTGGCTACGAGGGGTCTGTCGTATGCCTACGACCCCCATTTTTTGTCTCCTCACTCCGTTACGCCAGGAAAAAAGCTCAGTAGAGAAAGGAAAGAGCTGGAACGGAGGGGGTGAGAAGTTTGAACTGGGTTTGGAGTGAGAAAGCGTGCAGTGAAACAAACTAAAAGAGAAAGAAATTGCAAGAAGACAACATCTGAAATGGTAACTCGAGTGTAAAAGAAAAGAAATTTGGAATTGTGATTTTTTTAAAAAAATACTGGCGATTATATTAAGTGCACGTGTATAAATGGAAATGAACTGAAGGGCTGAAATGGACTATGGCGGCTCCGATCGCAGCTGATAGAGACGTGGAGAAGGTATGTGATTATCTGTTTGATTATGGTATTATCGGATAGACTATTGACCAAATTTTTTTTTTCCGCCTAAGACATCAATGTTTTGAAAATTGGTCTACAAATATATTTTTGAATATATTTGCGAAAGAAATCAATTCAAATTAAAACTGTCGAACAAATTTTATTTTAAAATTTATGAAAAGTCTCAAGTTTAGAAAACTAACTTTGTTTTTACGTGGTAATTTCATAGACAACGAAATATCTCGTGCATTAACTTGGAAATTTGTGTGCTAAAAATTCCATGTTTTTTACACAAATTTATTTCAAATAGTTTAAATTTCTTCAAACACTTTTGAAGTTATTTTATAAATTGCCTTACTATTTAAAATTTATAAATAGGAAGTTACAAATTTTCTTCAATACAATTCAAGACTTTAACAATTCTTTTTCATTTGTTGCACGGTAGAAATATATATATGTATGTCTCTGATATTAATTAATTTATAAAGCTTTTTATTTATTTCCTTACTTTATGTATTACTTTATTCAATTATTTTGTTTTAAAAATCAGTTAATTTTCATTGAAATGAATCGGAATCGTCTATTTATATTTTTCTTTGTTTTCATTATAAGCATATAAAGTCATTTCAAAATGTCTAAAGCGAAGGTTTGAAATTCAATAATGACTATTTTTTACCTACTTTTATTAAAGAGATGAGTTCTGAAATAAAATTCGGTAATAATCTCTTGTACGATTTGATGGAGAGGATTTTTTCTGCAAATGACATCAAAATCTCCAATGAACATTTACCTAAATATAACTTGACCCTTTTTTCCCTAAGGTATGTTAATGTAAGTAACTGCTAAATTAAAATAGGAAGTATTAAATAGCTTATTTAGTAACCCTTGTTTATAAATAATATCAATTTTAGATTGTTAAAAAAAAAGAAAAAAGAACACTGTACAAAAGAACACACTATTAATAAAAGTATTTAGTAGCACTTGTTTATAAATAATATCAATTTTAGATTGTAAAAAAAGAAGAAAAAAAAGAAGGAAGAACAATGTATATATTTTGAAAAAAGGAAAAAAGAATCGAAATATGTGCGTCGTTATATTCATACAACAGATTTATGCAATACAATAGATTTATAAACATTAATCTATATATTATAGATCTATATACATTTAACTACATTAAATATTGTACATTTATTCTTTATGACATACATTTTGAACAATATGCATACATTTTAGTCAGGATTAGGATTGTTTATGAGCATATTTTACAAAGCAACTAACATCACTCGACTTTGCAACAACGTTTTCTGCCTTTGATATAAGCATTTTTTTAAAGTTCGGTTTTTAAAAATAACTAAGCAAATAAACTATAATTAATTCTTGTAGATAAATATCCATCAGTTTCTGTATGAAGAGAAAAAAATGATAAATTTAAACATTATTTGCATTCCTTTTTCAATGTTCAATAAACTTAAGAGGAGAAAAAAAGCATATTGTAAGCGTGCAAATTTTTTCTTGAATTTTTGCAAAAGTTGTAATTGTAAAATTCGTAATATTAATGTAGGCTTATGAAACATTTATATAGTTGCGCAGAAATCAATAACTTCTATTCAGTGTTTGGAAAAAATAGGCATGTTTCTTGCAAACATTTTTCAATATTTTCAAACTTAAAATTTTAGTTATAAGTTAAGTTAGAAAAGAGCACTCTGCACGATTTTCTTGTGACATATTTCATATCATTTTTATGATAGTACAAAACTAAATTCTTTTCAAAGTCTGGTTAAGAAAGTGTTTCTATAAATGTTTTCATTATTTTATTAAACAGAATTTTTTTTATTAGTGAAAAAACAACAAAGTGTTGTTACGAATGTTTTTATCTTACTTACAGGCTTCAACATATATATAATACTTGGAAAAAAATACTTGTTTTAAAAAATACTGCTCTATTTAAGTAGAAAAATGATTTTCAGTTCTATTCTAAATTAGTTGAATATTTAATTCGACTAATAGATTAATGTGTAACTTTAAGATTAATATGTAAATTATGATTTCAGTTTAAATGTTTTGAACTATTTTTTTAAATCATAAAAATTTTCTGCGTATTAAAGTAATTTATCATTAATAACACATTAATATAATGCAAACGTTGTAAAATATATTCTTTTTAGAATTACATGATTGCATTAAGGAATAATTATGTAAAGTGTAAAACTTATTTACTGATGTTTAGAATTTCAATATGTATTTTTTAAACAATATATAATTAAGAAAATGTATACCTGAGTTTAAATTTAATTAGTATAACAATTTAGCTATTCATAAATTCATACATATAATTCATATATAAATTTATATTTACATGAAAAATTTATGTGTATCATACATTTTAGAACTGTAATCTACATAAATTTCTGAAACACATTCTAAAAGATATATTTAAATCTTTTGTTTTTAAACAATTTATTCCTGACATTTTTTAAGTATTTAACGAATTGATTTGTCTAAATCCATTATTGTCAACAAAAAAAAAATGTTTCAGAATGCCATGACTCATTATTCACATTCTCAACTTTATTTCAAAGAAAAGATTTATATTAGAATAAACACTGTAGTTGCATTCCCATAGTAAAATATTTGTACTTAAGAAATAATAATAAAATTTATTTTTTATCTTAAATCTAAATTTCTGTTTCGTTTTGAAACATGACTTATCAATGTAAGAGATATTTTTGTTTACCATCAATGTATAGGATTATTTTTTTTACCTAACAACACATAATAATTAATAGTTAATTTAGCATTAATTAGTAAATAAATTAGTTACTTTTTAGTCATTTAGTACAAATGCAGTTTTAAAATCATAAAAATAACTATCTCTGTCTCTCTCTTGTTGAAAAACATTTTGAAAATCATCTATTAATGGATAATAAAGCTTTGTTTAATCATCCGTAATAAATAATCTTCGTTATAATCGATAAATAAATTAACTTCTGTATAATGTATTTACTTGAGATTTAAAAAAATTAAAATTGTTAATTGTAAAATGTTACTTTGATATGAAATCTCGAAATTCTCTCTCTTCAGCAGCAGATCATTTTCAACGAATATAAGAAGGTTCTCTTAAATAGAGTAAACAATAAATAAAATTAGTTACTTTACTAATCAACACGAAGTGAATCAGTAACTTTAAAATAAATTTGATTAGCTTTGATCAGAAATTTAAATCTTAGCTACGAACTATTTCTAAGCATCGTTTATTTTTCACTAAACAACTCAAAATGAATTAATTACTTTATCAATTAATGAAATAGTCATTTAATGAATGAATTATTTAATATTATAAATAGAAAAAAAAATGAATGTAAGACTGATTTTAGAACAACTAGAATTTTTTTAGAAAAGAAAACTTTTTTTAAGAATTTTTAGTATTAAAATTTGTCAATTATTAACTTTAATGTACAGTATGCAAAAAAATAAATAAATGAAAAAGGAACAGAACACTATGAATAACTTTTAATCTAACTTCTATCTTCATGTTCTGGGACTTATTTCTATTGGTTTGAAGAGGTGACTTTAAATTTACTAGTTAATTAGTTCAGCCGATATTTTAAGTAAAGAAATCAGACATCAAATCATTAATATTCAGTACTGATTTCAAAGTTCGAAACAATAAGAATTTTTTTTCTAAGAGCAATAAAAAAAATCTATATTTAAATTTCGTCTGAATGATTCGCCTTGAATTTATTTGCAATAAGGCTTGAAAGAGCTTCGTAGCTAAATTAAAAGCTTTCTTTCATTTAAAATACTCATTTAATAAAATAAAAAAATAAATTTTAAAAATCTCAAAAAAGTAAGAACTTGTAAGATAATTGGAAGAATCTAGCATTGAACAAGGCAAACATTAAGTCGAAGTTTACTTGATTTATTTACTTAGTTTAAACTTGTAAAATAATTAATTTTCTTATTTTGTTAATTATTGATTTACTTAGTTTGAATATTAACCTCTTTCTAAAAAAATATTGTTACTCAAATTTATATTTAAAACTTAAAAGCATTAAGTTGAAATAGAAGTGTTATAAAATTTATTTCTACTCCTGTTTTAACAATGAGACGGTTTTTAAATAATAAAATTTCAAAATAATTTCATGAGAAGATTTATGTTTAATTATTAACTTTTTATTTAAGAAAATCATTTAAAAAGAATTAAAATACGTTTAGACCTTTATATAGTTTAATTTATTAGGATGTAATTTGATTGCAGTCAGTTGACCGACATACGCTTTAATGAAATCGAACTGGATTATGAAATTATGACTTTAATGACGAAGGAAAAATGAAAAAATCCATTTTCATAAACTTTACTTGCTTTTGTGTGTGCGTGTTTTTTGTTTTTTTGTTTTTTTTTAAGTCTCTTTTGCTAAAATAAATAAATTTATTTTGTTTTTTATAAAATGTGGAAACTTTGGCTTTTTACATTTTACATTATTATTTTTTTGTTTTGTCATGCGTGACATTAAAAGTAGATTGAAAAAAAAAACTGAATTCATGTTAAAACGTGAAGCATAATACAAGACAAAACCATAAATATTCGTGAATATTAATTCGCTTTATAAAATCTGTTACTTAATGCTTTTTTTTTTTAAAAATTTTGCATGATAAATCTTTTTTTCTTTTCAGAAAATATTGTATGTGATTTATTTTGATAAGTTTATAAAAAAAGTAAATCAGTAACTTGAAATATACATTTAAATCCATAAAAAGTATATATTTTTTCAAAAAAATATGCCAAATTAAAAGAGTTGTTGAATTTGAATTTAAGAATTCTTATCATTTATAAAGTTCTTATTCTGAGCTAAATGTTTAAGATGTTAGTTTTGCATTGCTTTATACATCATACAAGCACTAAGTAATAAATTTAGTTTATATCTTAGTATTGAACTAAATATATTTATATTTTGAAAAAATATGGAAGTAAAACAAGGCAATTTTGATCATTTTTC